ATTTTTAAAAGCTCTCCATAGCCTTTTTAAGTTCTTCCACATGTGTGAGCTTTTTAAGTTCAAGAAAGTCAAACCTGATGTCAAAATGATACTCTTACCATCCCAAATGACTGCTGTATCAGGTCTTTACAGTTGGCTTTTTATTGTGTTGTTAAGTTTTGGCTTTAAAATTCTCATCTGGCACATGGGTTAAATTTATTTAACCCAGTCCTAGTTATCCTTCTACACCCAAAGAACCATGCAGAACAATTACAGTTCGCCCTGCAACTAAAGTATACAGTAAATTGTACCGAGTGGAACTGAGGCATTTGGAGTCAGTGACCTTTTAAAAAGGAACTGCAGACCCAGTTTCTCAGACCAGTTATTAAATCTCAGTAACAAAATAAATTCATTGACGTTATAAGAAAAAATAATACAAATTTCGAATTAAGCACAAAAGCGTGAAACTTGCGAACTTTGCGAAGGTACTGTGGGTCGCCAAACTCGCATTTGAGTTCCCACAAATTACGACAAGGCGGCCCTTCCTGCTCGCTAGTCACTGTGATGCACGAGCGAATAAGTACCGGTTGTGCAGCAGACATTTCACCGCAGAATTGTTCCAAGGTGATATGCAGGCAAAGTTGACAAGTAAGTTTCATTTATCAGCAAAACAAAGATGAGAGGATTATTTCCATTGGACGAAAAGAGCCTTCTTGTTCACAATTCACAAGCCTGCTTGTTTACAGTGTCACAGGGCCCCTTCACCTCACTGGAAGTTTTGTTGCCTCATTCTGAATCGCAGAACATGGTGCTGCACATACAGAGCCTGGAAATTGCATCTATTTTGTGAACTAAATTGGAGATTTTGCAAATTACCATGTACATTCCACTTTTAGTGCGGGTGAAATGCGGTGGTGATTTTTAAAAAGAAAGATTAGAACGTCACTGGAAAGAAATCTTTGAATTATAAAATGTAGGAAATCGTCAAGTGGCAAAGCAGATGGGTATAGCTCTGGACTTTACCTTTTTTGTCCGACTCACAAAAATAAGCTCTTAAAACGGCCCGGATTGGCAGCTTTCTTCAAAGAGCAGGGTGACAGCTTGGCAGTGCCCTGTGTTAAGGACATTAATGAGGACACACTGTAATGGAACGTAATTAACACTCAAAAGGAATGTTGCCAGAGGGTATAATTTATTGAAATCTGCCCCCCCCCTCCACATCTTCTTTAATGAAGAGAGATTTTTTTCGACTGCTTTCCAAGAGGCCCACAGTTCGGTCTCCTTGTGTCTCTCCCCCCCACTTCCCTTTGGAATTTCAAGACCATTTCTTTGTCTTATTGAAAGAATTCAGCAAGATTAGACCCCTGCTGGGCACACTTCGGTTGCTTGCATGGATCTGTTGGGGGAAATTGAGAGATGGCAAAGACCGTATCCCACTAACAGGTGATCTGATGCATCCCGGCTCGTCCTCTGATGGATATAGATTTGCATGCGGAGGAGAAAAGCCTGCTCATGCATTAGGCTGATTTTGTCTTCCTCCCCCCTCCCCCCCGTGTCTAATTAGCCCTAATGGATGTAATGTGACATATGTAAAAAGGGGCCCAGCAGTAAATGGGTGGTAGCTTTTTTTGTACCCAGGTTGCTATGGCAATCTCATTTGTACTACTTGAATTGTAACAATACTGCGTTCTTTTTT